TTTTTGCTATAGGGCGCATGCGCTCGCCAGACAGACAGAGAGAGAGACAGAGAGACAGAAAGCGAGAAATCACCCCCCAGGGGGGATGGCCACGCCACAATCCCTTCTCCTCCGTTCTCCTCTAGGGATCTTGGGCACGCACGCACACGCGCCCGGTGTGAGTTTTAAGCCACTGTGTCCAGGATGCGAACCGCAGCTGACTACATGGGAGCCCAGCGACATAGCCATTATGCTAACTGCTGGTCCCCTATAAAATTGTTTTAACATACGTAGGAAAAATCACAGAAGTGTGATTACCTGGTTTCAATGAGTACATATTTGCTTATGTATCCTTCTTCAGGGCAGGCTCAGTGGCCCAGCAGTTGAGCACTGCTCTGGGAGCCAGATCCCACATGGCCGACTATGGTTGAAATTCTGACAATGGAGGCTTCAAAAACCTGCTGCGTCACTGGCCTCCCACATGGTCAAATGTGGTTTGGGTCCTGGACTCAGCATCTTGAAACTCACACTGGCCACTTCTCTGTGTGCATTCAAAATCCAGAGAGTAGAACGGAAGAAACAGGATAGTGGCATGGCCATTCCCCTGAGTGGGGAGGGTGTGATTTCTTGCTGTCTCTCTGGAAAGCTCATGCGCCCTATAACAGCAACTAAACATGCTAGGAGTGTGCGCATGTGTGAGGATGGATAAATGGAGGAAAAGGATTGTATGGGACCATACTCTGTTGGAGGGTGCATTCTCTTTCTCTCTGGCAAGTGCTCATACTCTCTGGCAGTAGGGGTGTGTGTGTGTGTGTGTGTGTGTGTGTGTGTGTGTGTGTCCTTCACAGGAAAGGCAGAAGACGGGGTATGTGGAAAATTCTTTTGATGAATAATAAATAACTATTAGGGAGGGAATAAATGGACCCAGGAGATTGAAATTAACTTATAAGTAGTACTCTCTGGAATTTGAATGGGTCCAAAAGAGACATAATATTAAAAGAAGCCTACAGATGTATGCATTCCAGTCTTTTTTTTTTTTTTTTTTTTTTTTTTTTGTGGATGGTTTTTCGCTCTCGGGGGTCTGCGCACCAGAAAGACAGAGAGAGATAGAGACAGGAAGTGAAAAATCACCCCCCAGGGAGGATGGCCACACTGCAACCCCTTCTCTTCCATTCTCCTCTCGGGATCTTGGGCACACACACGTGCTCCTGGCGTGAGTTTAAGCCACCGGGTCCAGGACTCAAACCCCAGTCGACTACCTGGGAGTCCAGCAACATAGCCATTACGCTAACTGCTGGTCCCTCCAGTCTCCTTCTTTGTGATTGGATAAAGACGTTTTAGGTGGACAATGGAGGACAACTGTCTAGCCCTATCTAGTTAGATGAGGGGAAGTCCTCCATGGACCTTCAAGTGTTTTTAATGTAAAATAACATGCTAGGATACAAAATTCTGGGGTAAAATATTTGGTCTCCATGGGATCAGCTGAGGCCATGGTGGCTATATCACTGGACTCCCACATGGTCAACTGTGGTGTGAGTTCCAGACCTAGAGGTCGGGTGCATGTGTGTGCATGGCCAAAATCCTGAGGAGAAGGGAGAAGGCACTGCAGCATGGCCTTCACCCCAGGGGGTGATTTCTCACTTTCTGTCCCTCTGGTGAGCACACGGACCCTATAGCAAAAAATCACTCTCTAAAAACAGAAAGAGAAAAACAAAACCCAAACTTTGGTCTCCTTCAACACTTCACACTTTCGATATTTGACAAATCTTCCAAAGTTCAAAGTCCCAAGTCTGGGACTCAAACTGTGGTTGGCCGTATGCGAGTCTGGTGCCTTAAGCACCATGCCACCTGCTGGCCTTTCCCTTTTCTTAGATTTTGTTGTTTGTTTTAAATGCCAGAGGGTATATACACTCACCTCAGAGAAAGACGGAGAGAGAGACAGCACTCCCCAGTGGGGCATGGTCACATCACAATCCTTTTCCTCCATCCTTCCTTCCCATCAGCATTTTGGGCACACATGTATTTGTATCCAGCATGTTTTTCAAGCTGCCAGCCTGAGATACGAACTATGGTTGCCTGTGTGGGGATCACACTCCCTTAACTGCTGAGCCACAGGGCTGGCCTTGGACCAGAATTTTGATTAAACAATCACTGTCCAAATTACTACAATGCAAAGATTGTTCGCTGCTGAACAAAGAACTCCATTAAACCACTAAATTCCCTTCTTGTCCAATAGTTATTTTTCTTTGGGCTAATAATGGCCTTTTTCACAATCCTTTTATGTCAATCTGTCATGTTTTTTAGGATTCCTTTTATTTAACTTTATTTATCATTTTTATTTATTTGGAGAGGTTTTTGCTATAGGGCACATGCACTTGCCAGAAAGACAAAGAGAGACAGAGAGATAGAAAGTGAGAAATCACCCCCCCCCCCCCACCCATCCCCAGGGGGATGGCCACACTGCAATCCCTTCTCCTCCATTCTCCTCTTGGGATCTTGGGCACAGATGCACAAGCACTTGGCATGAGGTTAAACCACCGGGTCTGGGACTTGAACCACGGTCGACTATATGGGAGTCCAGTGACATAGCCTTTATGCCGTCTGCTGGTCCCTCTTGTTATTTTTTAATGTGACTAGAGGAAGGCAGAGTGAGAGGGAAAATGAGCAAACTGCCAGGTCTGGGACTTGAACCATGTTTGGCCCTGTAGGAGTCCAGTGCCCTCAACCACCAGCAGCATGAGTTTAAGCCATCGGGTCCAGGACTTGAACCGCGGTTGACTACATGGGAGTCCAGTGACAGTCATTACACTAATTGCTGGTCCCAGGAGCCTAATTCTTAACCATAACATAATGGCTCTTGAGTTGTTCATCTCACACACACACACACACACACACACCCTTTCAATCTGTGTTATTCGGCTTCTGGTGCTGGCTCTCTTTGGTAAGTTGTGGGGACCTAGAGTAATCACTTTACAAATCTGAGACTGTCCTACCCATAAAATTAGAGGCCTGGGGACCAGCAGTTGGCGTAATGGCTGTGTCGCTGCGCTGGACTCCCATGTAGCCGATTGCGGTTCGAGTCACAGACCCAGTGGCTTAAACTCACGCCGGGCGCATGTACATGTGTGCCCAAGATCCCGAGAGGAGAATGGAGGAGAAAGGATCCTGGCATGGCCATCTCCCCAGGGGGTGATTTCTCACTTTCTGTCTCTCTAACAAGTGCACGTACCCTATAGCAAAAAAACCTCTCCAAAAAAAAGGAAAAAAAAATGATAGAGACCTGGAGGCTGGCAGGTGGTGTAGTGGTTAAAGGCACTGGACTCCCACATAGCCAACTGGTTCGAGTCCTGGACCTAGTGGCTATTTTCTCGCTGTCTCTCCCTGATCAAACTAGAAAATAATAAAGTTAGAATAAATAATTAAAAAAAATTAGAGGCCTGGATGCAATTGGTAACTTCCTAACTGCGTGGAAAGGGGAGATGAGAGGGTGGAGGTGTTGGTGAGAAACTAATGTGGCGAGGATGTTCGGGCCACCTAGAGCAGGAACTTTTCAGTAATGAGCTGCTCTGCTACAAGTAAAGCTATGAAACCTCTGGGACGCAGAGTGCATGCAAAGTGCATCCAGATGTCTTTTTCTAGGGTAGTCAAGCTTGTATAAAATACTTGAGAGTTCAAGGCCCAGCCACAGTGACATAGGATGTAGGATGCTGCTGAGATACTAGAGTCACTTGGGAAGGCCCCTGGTGTGAATCCCAGTCAGCCTGAACAGTGTCCACAATCCTGGCTGGCTGGGGCCAATGAGGCAGAATTGTAGAGTGGCATGACCTGTTTCTCTCTCTTATCATAGAAGAAATAAACTTTAATTTTAAAGTTTTGCTAGACGGTGCTCGTGTGGGGTTAGAGGTAGTAAAAAAGCATCCTCCAATAGGAATGTCCATACTGCAATCCCTTCTCCATTTTCCTATCAGGATCTTGGGCACGCACGCACACACACCTGTTTTCCAAGCTGCCAGGTCTGGGACTTGAACTATTAAGTTGGCCATGTGGACTCAGTCACCTTAACCACTGTGCTTACTGGATGGCCCCAAGAATTAAACTTTTAAGGGCCTATAAAATCCCTCTTCTGCTTTATATTCTTGGAGGAAACTGGCAATCCAATATGGGTCTTCACATACAGTGTGAGTAAACCTGCATTATCTGATTAAGAGTCAAGTGTTACTAGACTATGGTTAATAAGACACTCAGAGTAGCCTAATGAAGCTGCGTATCTACAATTGCTAAATACTAGACACAGAATTAAAGTATCTCATTTGAACTAGTCTGTATTTGATACTGGGTCACCGGGAAAGGCATGATGTATTTTTGCATAGAAACACAAAGAAACATATGTCAGGACTTTCCCGACGACCCAGTACATATTTATATTTTACTAGGGAGTGGGCATGTTTGCTCACCAAAGACAGAAGATGATAGAGAGGTAGAAAGCACCCCCTAATGGTATGTGGTCGTGTCGCAATTCCTTTCCTCCATTTTTTTAGCCTGTCAGAATTCTGGGTACACACACACACGTGTGCCTGGTGTTTCTTTTTCTTTTTTTGGAGAGGTTTTTCGTTATAGGGCGCGTGCGCTCACCAGAGACATAGAGACAGAAAGCGAGAAATCACCCCCCAGGGGGGATGGTCACGCCGCAATCCCTTCTCCTCCATTCTCCTCTTGGGATCTTGGGCACACATGCACACGCGCCCGGTGTGAGTTTTAAGCCATAAGGTCCGGGACGCGAACCGCGGTCGACTACGTGGGAGTCCAGAGACATAGCCATTACACTAACTGCTGGTTCCCTGCCTGGTGTTTCTTAAACTGCCGGGGCTGGGATTCAAATGGTGGTCAACCATGTGAGATGTGGCCCTCTTAACCACCATGCCATGGGACTGGCCCTACACCAGAAAAACAGTTATGTTTTAAATTTTTTTCAGAGTTACAGACTTAGAATAAACCCAAGAAAAAGCCCACTTGCTAATTATATATAAAGTATTTATTTTTATGCACATATTCACCTATAAAATTTACAGTAAATAAAACAAAGCAGAATATATAGAATACCCTCTTAAGACTTCTTAGGAGCAGAGGGTTTTATTGCTGCAGTTCAAAGGGTAAAATTGTACACATGTGAAAGCTAAGATGAACACATTTAAGTTAAATGGCAGCCTTGTTAAAAAGTTTTGTCCTGTTAGTTTTCCACTTTATGTGATTGATAAATACAATTTAAAAGATTGCTCATGAAATAATTTAAACCTTTTCAAAATCTAATAAACAGGTAAAAGGCACCTCCAGTACTTTAAAATATTTACAGCAATCCCGATAGTTTAATTGTATGGGCAGGGATGGGGCACGTGGCTATTGTGCGTACACAGTATGCCGTCAACACTCTCTGAGCAGTGAGAATGGCCGGCTCTCGGTTGTGGCACGCTCCCGTGTCATCCCGGTGGTGGCGGGAGATGCTCAGTCACACCTGTGCAAGACGAGCGGAACAGCATGTCCACCACAGCATAAAATCCAATTATCCAAAACGACAACTGTCAAATTCCCAGACGATACATAATTCATAACTAAACTTGCATATTCAAAAGCCTTTGGGGTGAGTTCTTAAAATTATTTTTTAAAAAAGAAAGTACATTTAGTAAATGAAAACAATGAACTGAAAGAACCACAATAGTTGCTGGAGTTCAATATTTGGTTTAACGAAAATTGTGTCTCAGAACATCTGTAATTTCTTACAACATAATGGAGATGAGTCCAGGCCGAACCCAATGTTTTTCCTGTAGGACGATTAGGAGAGGAGAGAGAGAGTGAAAGGCACACATAATAGCCAGTTTGAAAGAGCTGTGGGCATGGCGGGCAGATGTTCCTGAAATACTGGTGCAGGAGAACGCAGTCCACACACGGTTTTCCTCGTTAACATTGGCATTGATTTGCTATTTACAGTAGTTTGCAAAAATACATTATAAAAACTGAATGAGGTTCTAAGTTTAACTTAGTTACATACATACATACTCCATCTGCAAGTCTGCAGGATCTGAAGTACTAAAGTGACACTAATACTGAAACACAGGCAATCGAAGGTACCGGAGCACTGATCACGTGAGTCACCACCACCGAGAGGATCCGGGTCAATATTGCACACTTCTTGTCAGTTGTTGCTATGACCTTCACATATCCAACTGCAAAAGGAATCCGTTATGGCTTTTTGCTGTATCACTTATTTGAAGAAAGGCTGTCTTAGGTCCCACGACGACGAGTGCTGTCATTGAACGTGAGGCCTGGGTTTCAAAATTAGTTTTCCTGTCTGTAAAAAAGAAAAAAATTTTTTTCTCAATACACAGTAGACATAACACCACTTATTTATAAAGATTAATGGTCATTTGCAGAGAATCAGAACATTTTTCTCTACTTAGTCAATATTAAACAATAGTTACATCTTCAAAGTTTCCTTTGTAGGGAGTTTTCTTCTAAATTCTTTGTTTCTTTACAACAACCACGCCCCCACCCTCCCCCTCATTTAAATTCCCTATCCCCTAGATATCTGGAATCAGCCAATCATTCCAATGGATACAATAAAATCACAACTTGTACAGATTTATGTTCCTTAACAAATAGGTTTAGGGAACCAGCAGTTAGCGTAATGGCTATGTCGCTGAACTCCCACGTAGTCGACCGGGGTTCGTGTCCTGGACCCGGTGGCTTAAAACTCACGCTGGGCGCGTGTGCGTGCGTGCCCCAAGATCCCGAGAGGAGAATGGAGGAGAAGGGATTGCGGCGTGACCATCCCCTCTGGGGGGTGATTTCTCGCTTTCTGTCTCTATGTCTCTCTCTGTCTGTCTGGCGAGCGCACGCGCCCTACAGTGAAAATCTCTCAAAAAAAAAAAAAAAACAAATAGGTTTACAATACATAAATAAAAGTATGTATTTGAACAAATCATTTCTCAGTTCCAACAGAAGTTTGCTTTTTAATATTTACCAAGGGGTGCACATGCTCCCTGGGTATGGGTTGGGGAGGACAGTGAGAAAGCACTCCCCATCCATCGGGTATGCTCACGCTGCAATGCAATCCCTTCTCTATTCCTTCTTCCTCTAGGCATTCTGGGCAGGTGCTCACACGTGCCTGGTTATGGTTTTAAAGCTGCTGGGTCTGGGACTTGAACTATGCAGTAAGTCATGTAGGATCCAGCTGCCTTAACCACCACACCACCAATTAGCCCTAACAACATAAGAAAGTTTTAATTGCACAAATTAAACCACTAGATCAAGTCCCTTTTCTTCCTGGAGCTTTAAGTTCTGGTGGAGAACACTGACAACACAGAGTATGGAAAATAGAAAACACCCGTGTCCAAGAGGGGATTAAACTTTGGTATGTCTATAATATGGAACGATGTGCAATTAAAAAGACGACCTCGGCTGAGATGGCGCCAAGTAGAGGAAAAAGCCCAGGACACTGTACTTGGTGACTCCCAATCACTGGCAGGTCCCCAGTCCTAACACTGGGTCCAAGAAGCATGTTTGAAAAATCAGCAGCCTCTTCCTAATAGGTCAGTGAGAATGTACAACAAAATATGAAATGTGGTGATTATCTTTGGTTGGTAAGATTCCAGATGACTGTAATTTATATATCTAAGTCATTTTACATCTGACAATTCCTTGATTCCTTGGCAGACCTTTGATACTTGTTTTCCAGAGACAACTTATATACAACAAAATGCCCCAATCTCATAGTTTTTTGACTTTTGACACAGATCCACATAGCTACCAGCCATAGAACATCACTACCCAGAAAGTTCCTCCACGCCCCACCTGGCACACCACTACTGGGAGATTAGTTCTGCCTCTGGTATTTAACATAAAGTGCCTCCTTTTGTATCTGCTGCTTTCAGCGTGATTCTGGGTTTCACCCATGTTGCTACTGTTTCATTTAATTCCCACCTTCCTACAGTTTGCTTAATACCACTATGTATCCATGGGTTTCATCTATTTTTTAGAGGGCAGGTGTGTGTGTGTGTTCACCAGCAAGAAAGCTCGCTCAAAGTGGTGTCGTCATGCTGCAATCCCCTTCCCTCCACTTTTCCATCCCGTCAGGGTTTTAGGCCTACGTGTCCATGTGGTCAGTGTGTAGTGAGGATCTGAACCACGGCCAGCCATGTGGAATCAGGCTTTCTGCACAATGCATCATTTGGCCAGCTCGATTTCTATTTTTAACTTTACTAGTAAATCAATGTAATTTCATGATAAAAACCTCAAATAGTCCAGTACATCAAAGTCATTCCTCAATCTACTTCAATTTTTTTTTTTTGGAGAGATTTTTGCTATAGGGCGTGTGCGGTCACCAGAGACAGACAGCAAGAAATCACCCCCCAGGGGGGATGATCACGCTGCAATCCCTTCTCCATTCTCCTCTCGGGATCTTGGGCGTGCACGCACACGCCCCCGGCGTGAGTTTGAAGCCTCTGGGACACAAACCGTGGTCGACTACATGGGAGTCCAGCAACATAGCCATTACGCTAACTGCTGGTTCCTCTACTTCAAATTCTAATCATCTCTCCAGGAGAAACCAGTCTTAACATGAACTCTTCCGGATCTTTTCTGTGGACTTAAATTTACATATATAATAAATAAAAATGGTATATCTAATATGCTAAGTATTTGCATGTGAATACTTCACTTTGGATCTATTTCATAATAACCTGATGGGAAGGAGTGTGGGTGGGGCGCACATGAACAAGAATGGCCACGAGCTGATTACTGACCCTGGCCAACGAGTACATGGGATTTCATCATTTATCTCTCTTTTTATTTCTTTTTCCTTTGAGAAGTTTTTGCTATAGGGCATGTGTGCTGGCCAGAAAGACAGACAGAAAGTGAGAAATCACCCCCCCGGGGGATGGTCACACTGTAATCCCTTCCCCATTTTCCTCTCGGGATCTTGGGCACGCACACGCATGCGCCCAGTGCGAGTTTAAGCCACTGGGTCTGGGACTCGAACTATGGTTGACTATATGGGAGTCCAGTGACACAGCCATTACGCCAACTGCAGGTCCCTTTTTCTTTTTACTTTCATCATGTTTGAAATGTTTCATAACCAGGAAACTGAGCACATTTTTCATTTCGCTGTCTGTGCCCGTGCCTACCATTATGCTTGGAACTGCCCCAATTTGGACATTTACATACAGTCTTACTGTAGTTTTCTAAGGCATGGCCACATCAGCCTATCTCACTTCTCCCACTGAGAAACTCAGACTGTTCCTGCTGGGTCACTACTGTGCAGGACGTTGCAACAAACAGCCTTCACTTGCTCCCTTGTGTATGTGTAATGGTCCTCCAAAGAGACTGACAGAAAGTTAGTCATGAGCCGTACACATGTTCCTTTTTCTTTTAGGTTTTTGTCATAGGGCATGCGCACTCACCAGACTGCGAGATGGAAAGTGAAAAATACCCCCCCCCCCCCAGAAGGAATGGCCACACCACAATCCCTTCTCTATTTGCCTGGGATTTGGGGCACAAATGCACATGCACCAGGTATGAGTTTTAAGTAGCTGGATCTGAGACTTGAGTCACAGTTGGTCAGGTGGGAGTCCAGCATCTTAACCACCATGCCTCTTGCTGGCTCCCACGTTCAGTTTTAAAATAATGAAAACTACTACACAAAAATGGCTATTCCAATTTAAATTCTCAACACAGTTGTGTATGGGTGTACCCATTTCACTTCAATACTAGAGTTACAAAGTATGTAACTTCTGCCAGTTCGACACATAAAGCAAAAGAAAACTGTTTTACTTCTTCGCATTTCCTTGATTCAAACTAGGCTGCCCTCCTGTGTTTACTGGCCACCCATACTTCCACTTCTACAAAGACTGCACTTGTTCTCATTTCCTGTTCTTTTTCTCACTAGAGGGCTGTATGTTCACCAGAGAGAGGTCAAAGCACCCTCCATGTGGCATGGTCATGCACAATCCTTTCTCCTCCCTCTCTCCCTCCTGTTGAGATTTTGGGCATGCAGCTGGTGTGCTTCTCCAGCCACTGGGTCCAAGACTGAAACCTCAGGGTCAGCTGTGTAGCTTCCAGCTGCCTTAATCATCAGGCTAAGGAGCCAGTCCTCCCATTTCAATTATTTTTATTTAATTTTATTTTTATTTTAATTTGACCAGAGACGGACAGAGCTAGAGAGAGTGGGAAAGCAAAAAAGCAAGCAGCCAGGTCTGGAACTTGAACCACAGTCGGCCATGTGGGAGTCCAGTGCCCTAAACTACCACGCCACCTGCTGGTCCCTCATTTCTATTTTTTTTTTTTTATTTTTTGAGAGGTTTTTGCTATAGGGTGCGTGTGCTCGCCAGACAGACAGAGAGATAGAAAGTGAGAAATCACCCCCCAGGGGAGATGGCCACACCGCAATCCCTTCTCCTCCACTCTCCTCTCAGGATCTTGGGCACACATGCACACGCACCTGGCGTGAGTTTACTGGGACTGGAACCGCGGTAGACTACGTGGGAGTCCAGTGACATAGCCATTATGCTAACTGCTGGTCCCAGCCCCTCATTTCTTAAATGTTCTATTTTTCATTACCTTGATTTTTTTTCTTTCTTTTTGGAGAGGTTTTTGCTATAGGGCGCATGCATGCACACGCACCTGGCGTGAGTTTACTGGGACTGGAACCGCGGTAGACTACGTGGGAGTCCAGTGACATAGCCATTACGCTAACTGCTGGTCCCAGCCCCTCATTTCTTAAATGTTCTATTTTTCATTACCTTGATTTTTTTCTTTCTTTTTGGAGAGGTTTTTGCTATAGGGCACATGCGCTCGCCAGACAGACAAGAGAGAGACATAGAGACAGAAAGCAAGAAATCACCCCCCAGGGAGGATGGTCACGCCGCAATCCCTTCTCCTCTCTTCTCCTCTCGGGATCTTGGGCACACATGCACACGCACCTGATGTGAGTTTAAGTCACCAGGTCTGGGACGTGAACCATGGTCGACTACATGGGAGTCCAGCGACATAGCCATTATGTTAACTGCTGGTCCTAATATCTGTGTTTCTAAAGCCAAATAGTTTGGTTCTTTCATGTAGGTCTCTATTTTTCTATTTAAAGTTTATTTCTTCTGTGATGAGACAGAGACAAAGAGAAACAGAACAAGACAATAATAGCACCCCCATCAGGGTCCTAATGCTGTAACCTGTCCCCAGATGTAGCTGGTCCCAGATTATCCGTGTGTGAATGTAGTGACTCGGGGAGATCTCTGGACGTGAAGACGCATGGTTCGGCCCGGCAGAGTGCCATATTTTAGCGCTACACCTCTATCTGGTCCCAGGTATAGATTTTCATAATGAGAAAAATACTTACGTCATCACAAGACATATTGTATTCTGCTAATACTGTTCGACACCGAGCAGCTATACTGAATCATGTAGTCAAAGAAAATTTTTTCATTTCACTTTTTTTAATGATCACTGAGATCATGGAGAAGGTGCTTTAGTTTAATTCAGAGAATAAATCTCGATGTGTGGTAAAGGATACATGGATGGTGCAACTACTCTCTTGTGTATTCCGGCAAAGAACAAGCCTATTAGAGTGATACAGCTAATGGTGAAAAACGGATGATTCCATAACGACGTGAAGAAGGACACCTGTAGGAGTTTGAAATACAAAAATGTTAAAAATCTTACAACAATACTGATTCCTACCTGCTCACTCATGCATAAATCTACATATTTTTATCACATATACTATGAGGAATCATCGATAATCTCAGTTCTCTATGTTGGTGAGCTATACAAATAATGTAAGCTTTTCATCTTCCATATAGCAAGCCGATATAGCACTATTCCCTCTACTTGTTCCAAATGCTTGAGCCACTATAAATTCAATCCTATAATCAAAAAACCCTACCTAAAATATTTTCTAAACTCTAGGTCGAATAAAGATGAGGTGACTGAACTCAATGAAAACACAAATCAAATGTGATCTTGTTCATTTCCTTTTTATTCTGTTTTGAAGGTTTTTGTCATAGGGCACGTGGCCCGCTAGAGAGATAGTGAGAGGGAAAGTGAGAGGTCCCCCCCTGGGAGGATGGCCACACTGCAGTCAATTCCTCTCCATTCTCCTCCTGAGATTTTGTGCCTGGTATGATTTTCAGGCCGCCAGGTCCAAGACTCAAACCACAGTCGGCTGTGGGAGCTCAGTGCTTTAACTACTATGCCACCTACCAGCCCTAATTTCCCTTTTAAAAGGCTTTCTTGAGGGCCAGCTTCACAGCATAATGGTTAAGTGCTAAGAGGGAGATGAGTCCCACATGGCCAATCATGGTTTGAATCCTGGCTCTGACAGTTTGAAAAACGTGCTGGGCACACGTGCACACATCTAGAATCCAGACCAGACTGAGGGGGCAAGCACTGCAACATCCCAGGGCCCCACTGTGGGTGCTTCTGTGTCTCTCTTGTGCACAGGCATGTGCCCTCTGGCCAAAATAAGAAAAAAAAAAAAAAAAAAAGAATTCCTGAGAGTGCTGAGCAAACTCTGCCATTTATAACCTGGTCCAGTGTAATCTACGTTTCCGCCGCACGTCCACCCACGTGCAATCTTGTTAACCCCCCTCTTCACCTGGCCAACGCCTACATCTCTCTACTCGGCTCCAGCATCACTCCTCTACACAAAAGTGGGAAGAAAAAAAAAAAAAAGTTTGGATTTGAAGCTACTGAGATTTAGATGGCCAGAGGATTAAGCAGAAAAAAATAATTAGCTATCCATGAAGAACTACAATTCAAGAAAAAGACAGGACTAATTGCAGATCTGGGAGTAATCAGATGATAGCAGAAAACAGGACAAAACCCCGTTTTAAGAATAAGTCAAGGGGTGAGAGCCCAGGATCCACGATGGGAACAAGAGTGGGCACTGAAGCCACATGACTAGGGAACAGGAATGTGTACTGAAGAGACAGAGAAGCAAGCACTTAAAACATCTGTAAAAAAGAGATGAAACGATCAGTAACTAGATGGGGGAAGAGAGGACCAAGCCAAGCACAGCCCTGCTCCACTCTCGCACCACAAGTACAGGGTTCGGGAGATGGCCCGCATCACTTGTCAATCGAGAAAATGAGAGGCTGAAAACTCAGGATGGGAGAAATTCCCAGAAAGATGTGATCCCAAAGAAAGGTATATTCCAGAGGAACGAGACGTCTCCTTCAAGCCTCAGAGGACAGTTCGATTCCCACAAGCCAGGATGTACTGTGTGGCCTACGTGACGTTAGCATAGCCAGAGCTTCACGTCTGCGTCTTAATCAGGCCAGCCACACCAGCCTTCTCTCCTCAAGGCATCAACCAACTGCATCCCCACGGCAGGTGTCCCGAGACCGAGCACGCATGTGCTCTCTAGTTCGCCACATTCCTTCTCTCTCCGCCTTCTTCCAGCTAGCCCCTGGCTTCCGAGTTTGCAACTCCGGCTACAAACACAACGGCTGGTTAAAACACCTGTCAGGTCTGGAGTTGTTAAATACTGAAATACGAAGAGCCGACCCTTAGGCTAATAGTCATATTCTCACCTAATTTAGAAAATGTTATTAACTACAGAGTTCCGGGCCTATTTCAAGTTACATTTAATTCTGCGTTTTATTAAGATCTCAATGAGCTGAGACCAGCCTCTATTTTTCCCAATTAGAAGTCAGACTCATTTCCCAAGACAGACCTTTTTCAATCTTGCCAACCTCCTTCCACTCGTCCCCTAAAGATGAGTACCAAGTGCAGCTCGAGATCTGATTTTACAAATGAACACACAGGAGAGTTTCCTGTCTGCCATAAAACCCCTCCATTAACTCGAATTCCATCACCAACCTCCCCTGCTTCCTAGTCTTTCACATCTCTACCTGGAGACCGTCTCTGTGGATAGTCAGGGAGACGCCATGCTAAATAAACGCCTGGCTGTCTGCACTGCCTTTCAGACTCATGATAAAAGCCTCACGATCAAGTTTTTCTGTACAGCCTAAAAGGTTATAAATAAAGCTACTGCAAGTAGTTTACTTCACTACAGTTTCAGTGGCTGGAGAGGATTTTTAACATTAGTGAAAACCACAGCATTGTTATTACCTAGATAAGACTGAACTGGGGGGTAAAACTTCACTGAAAAATTGTAGACTACTGTTCTCTAACTAGGAGAGGAGAAAAAAAAAAAAGCCTGAGTTTAAAATTAAGGCACATGGGACCAACAGGTGTTGTGGTGGTTGAGGCACTGGAGTCCCATATGGCTGACTGCAGTTCACGTCCTGGACCTGGCAGCTTGCTTTCTCACTTTCCTGTTCTCTTTCTCTGGTCAAACTTAAAAATAATACCAATAAATAAAATTAATGATGATTTAAAAATAAATAAATAAAATCAAGGCCCAGTTAGTGGTAGAAAGGTAGAAGTCTGAGAATCTTTTGATCAGTTTTGTTCAATATATGCTTTGAGAAATAACAGTATGGGGCTGGCAAGTCCTGTGGTTAAGGGAGTCAACTGTGATGCTCGGGTCTTGGCTCCAAGGCTTAAAAACACAGTGGGTGCATGTGTATGTCTGTCCCAAATTCTGACAGGATGAAGACATGTAGGGAAGAGAATCGCAGAAGGACCACACTCCACTGGGAGGTGCTTTCTCCCTCTCCCTCTTTCTGGTGAGTGCACATGCCTGCCCTCTGGCAACTAAAAAAAGAAAACCACAGTATGGAATCTGTTATTGCATTTGATATAGGAATATTCCTGCACAGTGCCCAATGGGAGATCTCTCAGTATTTTCTATATTAAACTTTAGCCAGAATTTCTTCTTTTTTTTTTTTTGAGAGGTTTTTGCTATAGGGCGCATGTGCTTGCCAGACAGAGAGAGACAGAGAAACAGAAAGCAAGAAATCACCCCCCAAGGGGGATGGCCATGCCAAATTCCTTCTTCTCCGTTCTCCTCTCGGGATCTTGGGCACGCATGCACACACACCCGGTGTGAGTTTCAAGCCACCAGGTCTGGGACGCAAAACGTAGTCGACTACATGGGAGTCCAGTGACATAGCCACTATGCTAACTGCAGGTCCCCAGAAATTTTTAAAAAGTATCTTTTGGTAGAGAGTTTGCACATTTACCAGAGAGAGAGAGAGAGAGAGACGAAGCAAGACAGAGAGGGAGAAAGCAGCCCCCAATGGCATGTGGTCACGCCACAATCCCTTCTCTTCCATTTCTCCATCCCATTGGGACTTGTGGCATGCATGTACACGCACATACAAACCATGGTTTTCGAGCTACCAGACTGGGATTCAAACCCTGGTTGACTGTGTGGGATCTAGCTCCCTTAACCAATATGCCATGGAGCCAGTCAGGAAATTTTCTTAGAAATAAATGTTGAGAAAGAAAAGCTTTACTAAAGGAATGGATATAGGTATTCTCCTTACAGACAATGAAAATCATAGAATTATCTGTGACTTCACTGATAAGGTAACACAGAGACTAATTTGTAAGTCGATTTTGGAAACTACCCTGGACCGTGTGGCCTATGTTACCAGTGACCAGTTTCTTTTCTGGTTGGGACCGCATCTGTTTTTTTTTTTTTAAAGCTAGTCCTGACTTTTTATGACACTTATATTTTGGTATTTTATAATATGTGTTTCTTGTGAGGTCTCAAATGCTTTATGGAATGAAGAAACATATTAAGAGAGAACTCATAGAAGAAAATGTTACTTTCTCATATTAAAAAGCTGGAACTGATAACACTAAGCATACAAAGCAGGACAGAGTTAAACTGAAATAAGTAAAACTGGTGTGTAAGTACACATGTAAAAATTGTACACACATTCAGAAACTAACTGAGAAGTAAAGTGTTTCCTGGGCCTTCTCCTTTGTGAAGATATTCAAGTCACAACAGCCAGCCAAAGTTTTCCTGAAGCAATTACAAAGCATAGTTTTAATATCATGATTAATATCACTAGTAGCAATCAGCAGCATTTACCATTAAAACACAGCTATATCTGTTATCTCATTTGATCTATTAAGTATTGTAAAACAAAACTACTACCTTTTGTGTCTCAGGATCTATTAACCAGTTCCAAGCACCAGTAGCTGTACAGACAGATACCACTATAAGAAGCACTAAAGAAAAACACAAAGTTAGTAAGCAAGTACACCCTTCAATTTGACACTATCACACCAGTTCCTAATAAATGGCAGTCAAACGCAGCATTTTATTAAAAGGAAAACACACTGACTGCGACTCAGATATTGGGAGACTCGCCATAAGACGTTGGAAAGTGTCTTAAATATTGTGAACCTGCATGTGTAACTCAGGACGTCACTATCTCCCTTACTTCTTAATCAGAAGTTATGAAAATTAGTGAAACACAAAGTAATCAAGAACCCAGATGGTAAACTTCAACACAAGGGTCTGTGTTATCTAACTTTCTCTACGCTTGGTAGTGATTTTGTAGATCCTAAACGCAAAAACAAAAACGCAACTCTCATTTTCTAATGTATATAAACCAAACAGGACTCCTTTTTGCATGCACAGAAAATTCTCAAAGATTCTGTGTGCAGACAACCTCCTGCTGTTGAATCAAACAAGGTCAGGGTTAGGAAGTGTGGAGTCAGCATGGACCACACCAATTGGTGTCAGATTTTCTTTAAGAGATTTATGGAAGGTCAGGGTAGAAATTACAGCCAGTGGAACTGAGAAGAGAAAAGGTTTCTTTCTCCTCACTGAGCTAGAATTCTTTTAGAAATTCTGAATAGGTCATGAGTAAAAATGAAAAATCAATGATATTACAAAAGAGAATAAAGGAGCATCAAAATCTCATCAATACTGCTAATGTTCTGGAAAGACACATGCCTGGCTTTCAGTGTGAATTCATTTATTTTTCAAATGTGGAGATCAAGTTTCACAGAATAGCAAAAATACAGTAAAAGCTTAATTATCTACGGATCCTAGTGACATACTTTTAGAAGAGAAAAACCACAGAAAAAAACCATTTTAGATATTTAATAATAGAATCAAAATTTCAAAAAGGAATAGACTGTATCACACAGGTACTTTTTTTTTTTTTTTAAAGCAAAGTAAAAGCAAAATTAAAGCACTAGAAAGGACCTCATACATGCTTTTATTTGATTGGTACGTTAACCTAACTTATGTTGCTTGTATAGGGGTTTGTCAAAGAATCATAGAGAATGCCTACTACAAAAACTATGCATAGATTTAAAATATCTTTTTGCTGCACCAAAATAAACTTATTTTTTTAATTCTGCTTTTCCACAAACTTTCTGAAGTAGGCACTGATGAGTCAGAAAAGTAATGTACATTTATTGCATTAACATTTTACAAGATAGGACAGCATCAAATACATTCTAAGATTCTCAGCCAGTCCTGCCGGTGCAATGGAAACATGTAGTAACATGATGCTAAGATCACATGGGAATGTCGTGGGGGTTGTGTCCTGGGGGTTGTCCCCAGGTCTCCCATACGTACCAGGCATGAGCACCTGTGCCTGTGAGCCTTGAAGGCTGGGAGGATGGTAAAAGGCCCAGTTGGGGTGCCTCTGTCTCCTTCTCTCATGGAAAAAATAAATTATAAACTCAAACAAATAAAAAGATTCTCAAATAACAGAGGATGAGAGAAAGCACTCCCAATGGAGCATGGTCACATCGCGATCTTTTTTCCTCCATTTCTCCATTCCATCAGGATTTGGGGCAGGCACATACACAACCAAGCATGTTTTTCAAGCTGTTGGGTGTTGGGATTGGGATGGTGGTTGGGCACGTGGAATCAGACTTTCTATGCACAGTACTTAATGGCTGCCCTGCCCTATAAGGTCAATTCTTAGATGTCCTTTTCTTAAAAATTTTTCTTTAGGGGTCAGCAGGTGGTGTAGTGGTTGGGAAGCAGGAGTACCACATGGCTGACCATGGTTCGAGTCCCAAACCTGATAGCTTGAAAGTCACGCCAGGCATGTGTGCATGTGTGTGCATGCCCAAAATCTAAAGAGGAGACTGGAGGAGAAGGGACTGTGGCCATCCCCTCTAGGGGGTGATTTCTCACTCCCCCTGCCCCAGTAAGTGTACGTTGGCCTACAGCCTGAACCTTAAAAAAATTTTTTCTTTAAAGAAAAAAAAGGGGGGCTGACTGCATGACACCACAGTAATGCACTGCTCAAGAGAAATTAGACCCCACACAGTGACTGTGATTTGAATCCCTGGCTTGGTCAGCCTGAAACAGGCCAGCCAGACATGCATGTAAGTACCCAAAATCTAATGGGTTAGAGGGCTGGAGGAAGGGAAGCACAGTGTATCTGGACCCTGTGGAGGGTGTTATTTCTCTCTCTCTCTCTCATGAACATGTTCTACTATACATAAATTTCTTCTCATTGTCTATGACATTAAATAAAACTTACAAACTGTCTAAACAACAACAACAAAATCTTACAATTTAGTAAAGCAAGCACTTGTTAATAGAAATTCTACATAAAAGCAGATGTAGCATTGTCTGTTAATTTTTCCCTTAAGAAACATTCAGAAACTTACTTCTCCAACGTCCAGTGGCGGGTTGCAAACAATGAATATATTCGGTAAGTCTCCTCTCGAAGGCCTTGAGATCTATATAAAAAGATTTCAATGTTCTAATTAGCCTTTCGTACCAGCTTGGAACTACTAAGATTTTCTTTCTGGAGAAATTTTTGCTATAAAGGCGTGTGCACTTGCAGGAGAAGGGGGTGGGGGGGAGAGAGAAAATCATCCCCAAGGGGGTTATGGCCATGCTGCAATCCCTTCTCTTCCATTCTTTTTTCAGGATTTTGGGCTCCTACATATGGCGTCCAACGTGTTTCAAAAGCCACCAGGCCCAGGGCTTCAACTGGTCAACCATGTGGGAGTCCAGCACCTTAACCACTACACCCTGCTGGCCCTTATTAAGAGGAAATCTTAGATTCTCAACTGCTTTAGGTCTTACACACCAACTTACACTATCTCTGCACTGCTTACTTCTTTTATTATGACAACTTCAAGCATTTGACAAAAACGTTAGGTTTCTTTAATTCCACTCACACATAAGAAAACTGACTGGTTGACCTTTAGACGCTTCCTAAAACAGTATTTGGAAAACAAGTTGCAACCTTAGCTGGCAGCAAAACCTAGAATTTTGGGAGTTGCAAATAAAAGCCTCAAAATTAGGTCCAGTTTTAATCTGCTGGAACCACCTTTCTATTAGAACAACATACTACCTAACATCCAAGTCTTCGCAGTCACCCCGACTGCAACCACCTGGTTCCTGTTTCTAGCTCTTCCACTTAATTCATAATCATTTGGTCTCATCTTACTGAGCTGCTAGCCTTCTTGACGCTGATAACGGCAGGCTTTGGAAAACACCCCTTTCCATTCTCCGAATGGGTTACAGGTGATCGCCGTCGCCTATCGAAATCCCAACGCCTTGTTCTAAAAGACAGGGGAGTTCAGGATAGACCCTCTGAATGAAAGGTGGGTAGGTTATTCCCACGGTGATTTCCTTAAACTTTAAAAAGGCCCCAAACCACTTCCTAACCCAGCAAGTTACCGGAACCCAGGGTAGGAAGGAGGGATACAGCTGTCGAGGTGATCAGATTAAAATTACATAGCATACCAGGATGCACGATATGCAAGTGTTTGCAAGCCAAGAGAAAGAAAAGCCGGAGAGGAGGTCCACGGGCCACGCCGGGGTGGGGACGGGTTTGGGGGTGGGGTAGGGTGG